TAGATCCACTTTTAGTGTTCTAAGGAAACTCCACACAGTTTTCCATAGTGGCTGGACCAGTTTGCATTCCCACCAGCAGTGAAAGAGGGTCCCTTTTCCCCCACATGTTTTCCAGCATTTGTTGTTTACAGTTTTTTTAATATGGGTCATTCTCACTAGTGTGAGGTGGTATCTCATTGTGGTTTTGATTTGCATTTCCCTGATAGTAATGATGTTTAACATTTTTTCATATACCTGTTGGCCAATGAAGAGAAATTCTGTACCTTTGTCTCAGTCAATAGGTGTGAGTCTTGGAATGCTATGGTCTTGGGTTAAGTGTCTCTCTGCTGCTGAGGGACACCCTGAAGGAGCAGATAGCTGAAAGTTGTCTGTTGGCAATTTTTTCTTGCAAAGACCCATCTCTACCTCAGCCAGCCTACCCTTCTGATATAGAGGATGGGTCTGATAGATCAGTTCAACATTGGCAGTTACAGCTGTATGATCAGATATGCAGATTCCTTCAGAGCTAAGGAACATGCCAGAGTTGGTTGTAAATGTTGCCTAATTCTCTACACAATATGGAATGAATTACTCTAGAAGACTAAGGGTCTGTGCTATTATTCCTCTATTGAGTCTTGCCAGAAATTCTACCTGGTGCTTTCGCTACCAAAAATACCTCTATTGTCATGGAATTTGCTTGGTTATATGGCCCAATTGAGGGACTTCTTATGCCATAACATAAATCTTCTGTAAAGAACTTTTTAGTTTTTTGCTCTGGTACCAACTCAAATATAGTAGTGTTCCTCACCAACCCAATAAATTAGTTGGTTCTATTTTTCCAAATGCAGTACATGCAGCATTAAACCCCAAATTGACCTAATAAGTGTTGGGCTTCTTTCTTACTGGTAAGATGTGTTAAGTGAATAACTTGCTCGAATAGTTGAATATCACTCCTAACTCAATAAACATTTTGATGAGTTAAGCTCTTGAATCTTTGCAAGGTTTATTTGCTTTTCTATAGAGCACATGAGTGTTACTATTATTCCAGAATACTTGCCTCTTCCTGCTAATTAGGTCAGATTTATGCAATGTCATTAATATAGTGAATTAATGTGATACTCTGTAGAATGTCCAGATGGTAACATTATAACAGGGAGCAGGAGGATAGCCTTGGGTCAGACTATGCATTCATCTTATTATTTGTCTCATGCGAATGCAAATCATGAGACAGACTTGGTCAGAACTCCATTTACAACCTGATCTCCATGATGACACTTTGCATCACCAGATAGCAGTGTCAACTCAGACCCTGCATACATAAGATCCCCAAAGATCTGGACATTCTCTTTTTCCTATGTTTTGTTAACTGAGTGAATGACTACAGTCCCTTGGTCAGTTTCTTATTCAATGATCATGATCTGGGTATATGCATTGGCTCAGGTATCTAGATCTGGGTATATACATTGGCATCTCTTCATGATCTCTTTTGGTTACCTAAGTGAAGGATTATTCTTATTGGCTGTCCATTTTCCTGTCCCCCAGGTCCTATGTTTTAGTTGCCATCTCCATTGATCCCTATAAGCCAGGTCATTTTGTCTTTGCTGTCTTTTAAATTTTATTTATTTCTTTAAAATAAGTTTTTATTGGGCCTCCCCTGGTGGCGCAGCGGTTGAGCGCTGGGCTGCGAAGCTGCCCGCAGCATCTGTAGCACTGGTTCGATCCCCGGCCGCTGGCAAGGGTCCCACATGGTGCGCAGACCTCTCCTGCCCACCCGCTGCTCCCCTCAGCAGTGTATTTCGTCAGTCTGCCTCTTCTGTTCCCTGCTCTGGCTCTGGTGAATTCTCTCACCCTCTGGCGCTTCTGACTGTACCCAGTGCTTGTATAAATAAATGAATAAATCTTTAAAACAAATTTTTTTAAATTTGTTTTTGTGTAAAAGAACTGGGGTATAGGCCAGAGGTGCGGGGGGTGAGAGAATTCACCAGAGACAGAGTGGGGAGCAGAACAGGCAGATTGACTGAAATACACTGTGGAGGGGAGCGGGGCGAGACAGAAGAGCGTCTGCTGTGACATAAGTAAATTAGCTCCCTGGCTAGGACCAATCTCAGGCTGTGGCAGTGACAGTGCTGAAATTTAAGTCTGAGGCCACCACGGAGGCCCACTGCCTTGTTTAGTAATTATGCCTTTCTTGTGCCTGAGGGTTAAGTGCCACACTTGGCTTTTGCTCTCATGGAATCCTGTCATTCCCACTGCAATAATGAGTGTGGTTCTTTAGCAACAACTTTTATTATCAGCTCTAACTTTTAGAAGATGATCAGCCCCCTGTAAGTTTCCTGCTTATAAGTATCCAATTTAAATATTTGCTTTCTGAAGATACTTCCTGAGACATTAGCTTAAGGCAAATTAAATATAATTCTTTACTGAAGAGCTTTAAAATAATCTTTTATGTGAGAGTAGAATGTGATTTTCCATAAATGTAATAAAAAATTTGAGTAGAAATTCTATTTGTCTACTTTATCAGGTAATTCTTTTTTTTTTTTTTAAAAGATTTATTTATTTATGCATACAAGAACTGGGGCACAGGCGAGAGGTGTGGGAGGTGAGAGGATTCACCAGAGACACAGTGGGGAACAAAACAGGCAGATTGACTGAAATACACTGCTGAGGGGAACAGTGGGCGAGCAGGAGAGGTCCGCTGCACCATGTGGGTATCTCCCTGGCTGGGGATCGAACTTGCTGTAGTGGCTGAGAACAGTTGTGTCTCAACCCCTTGTACCACCAGGGAGGCCTATCAGGTGATTCTTACCTAACCCCCCAAACAGCATTCATTTGTGCTCTCAGTGTTGCAAATATCATAGGTAAAAAGTATCTCAAAATTATTTTAATTTTAAATTTCTAATTATGAAATGAAGATTTTTAAAAAGTCTGTAACATTGGTATTCCATTTTCTATAAACTGTTCATCATTTGTTCATTTTTAAAAAAGGTGTCTCTTAGTGACTTTTAGAAACTCTGTATAGTGAGAATTAGTTCTTTTCCCAATATGGTAGAAAATATCTTTTTTGATTGTCATTTGATTTTAGAATTGTTTAAGGGTTTTAAAACTTCTTCTCTTTCTTGTCTCTCTCTTTACAGCCTTCCTTTTACTCATCTTCCTTTCTTTTTGCTTACCATCTTTTCTACCTATAGCCTTCTAACAATAATAGCCTGATTTTTCAGTAGTGTTCCTGCCAATTTTTTTTTTTTTAGATTTATTTATTTATACAAGAACTGGGGTACAGGCCAGAGGCGTGGGATGGTGAGAGGATTCACCAGAGACAGAGTGGGGAACAGAACAGGCAGACTGACGAAATACACTGCTGAGGGGAGCAGCAGGCGAGACAGGAGAGGTCTGCTGCGCCATGTGGGATTCTCGCTGGCTGGCCGGGATTGAACCTGTGCTGTAGAAGCTGTGGACAGCTCTACAGTGTGCTGCTCAACTGCCTGCACCACTGCTCAACTGCCTGCGCCACTGCTCAACCCCCTGCGCCACGGCACCCCTGTCAATTTTTTAAAAGATTTTATTTATTTATGCATACAAGAACTGAGGTACAGGCCAGAGGTGTGAGGAGTGAGAGGATTCACCAGAGACAAAGTGAGAGGATTCACCAGAGACAGAACAGGCAGACTGACTGAAGTACACTGCCGAGGGGAGCAGCGGGCGAGGCAGGAGAGGTCTGCTGTGCCATGTGGGCCAGCTCCTTGGCCGGGGATCCAACCCATGCTGCAGTGGCTGCTGATAGCTTCATAGCGTTGAGACCCAACCCCTTGTACCACCAGAGAGGCCCTAATACTTCTATGTTTTAAAAAAAAAAGAAATGATGAAGACCTTAGTACTGTGCTGTGAGGAGTTTATACTTATACCAGAGAACATGAGGTCACCAAAACATTTAGTAACAGTGATCTGTTTTATGTTTGTTCTATAATTCCCTCTTGTCTTACAGAATGTTCTATTGGTAGTAATTTCTTCAGGATATTTTACGTGTGTACAGGAATCTGCATGGGGAATCTTCAACTCCTTAGTTAGCATGAAATGCCTTTTTTCTTCGTTGCTTTTGGAAACTGATTTTACAGGTGTATTTCTATCAATCTGAGTTTTTAAATTTTAAGTAAGTAATTATTAAGAGACTTGTAATTTCTTCTCGGTACTCTCCCAACCAAAGAAAATTTCAGTAGTCTGAGCTATGTTGCCCTTTTTTTTTTTTTTTTTGATATCTGGTCTTATTTGTTTCTTTTAGAAAATTTCATTTTTAAAAAGATTTATTTATTTATGCATACAAGAACTGGGGTACAGATGAGAGGTGTGCCCCCCCACCAGAGAGAGAGTGGGGAATAGAACAGGCAGATTGACTGAAATACACTGCTGAGGGGAGCAGAGGGCAAGACAGGAGAGGTCTGCTGCACCATGTGGGTAGCTCCCTGGCTAGGGATTGAACTCATGCTGCAGTGGCTGTGAATAGCTTCTTAGGTTGTGTCTTAACCCCTTCTGCCACCAGGGAGGCCCCTAGAAAATTTCGTTTTTGACTGGACTCAAACTTTGAGGTGTTATCTCTCAGAGAAGATAGGCTCAAATGGTGTAAAATATATATAAAATAAAAAGGAGCATACTGAAAAAGAGAGAGAGAGAGTCTCAATCTCTGGGCAGTCTGTTCCTGGCATTTTCTTTGACCTCTTTCCTTCTCTTGACTGAAAGTGTAACATAATCTGCAGCTTCTTCCTTCTTTTTTTAGTACAATGTTTCTTCAGATTTGTGTTTGTGTTGCAGAATGAATGGGGTAATAAGAGTGAATCTTGGGTGCTTTGGTCCTGAGCTTCTTAGCTTCTTTGTTTAGATGCTTGCTCACAGCATATCTGTGGGCATTGTTAGAGAAATTCAAGTTTTTGGATTTTGTTAGCTCTTCACTCCAAGGGTCTAGCGACAGTAATATCAGTGAAGCCAGGAATATCTTTCTTTTCTTCTTTTTTTTTTTTTTTTTTTTGCAGTGACCCAATGAGAACACTCAGATTGGCATTCACAATGCAACCCTGTGCAGATTTGGATTTTCTTCCACCAGTCTTTGGTCTATAACAGGAGTGAGTGCTCCTTACTCAGCAGCAGGAGTACCCGACTGTGGGTCGAGACACCCTTTTCATGGGAAAACCTTGTTTGCAGTTTCCACCACTGATCCAGACCACAAACTCTTTCCATTCATCATCCAGAGCATCAGCAGCAACTTCTATGGCCATAGGCTTTTCATAAAAGGTATGAAGTTTGTGTTTGTCATCCACTTTAATGGATTTCTGGCAGCCTGTGGCTGGGAAAGAGATGTTCAGCTTCATCTTGAAGCAGCTGACTGCCTCTTCAGGTACCACAAAAAAGAGTCATATTGCAATATTTTATGGAATAAGTCAGCATCCCGCATTAGGGAATCATAGATGTTAATGATAATGATATCTTTGTGAAGGAAGGAATAGACCTTATGTGAGTAGTAGATATTAAGGAAAAGTAGTCTACTTTTTGTCTTATATTTTTTTAATCTAGAAATTATTAGGTAATGATTTAATAATAAACATAACAAAAAATAACAACAGTTAATACTAATGAACAGAAAAAATACCCCTGTACTGCTTTGCAAAATGGCTCAGTAATTTCCGTCTTAATAATATTAGGACTTACCTTCATTTATGTAATTCTTTTTATGTTGAAATTGCTTATCCAAAATTAAGTAATTAATCCTAATACCCAACCCTGCAAGGAAGATAAGAATTATCTTCATTTTACAGATTAAGTTAAATGTACTGTATTCTAAATGATTAATGCTTCAAAATCTCCAATGCCAAATGGTCTATGTTCCCCTGCAAGCATGTGGAAATCCAAATTTACATAGTAATTATGTGTTCAATTGTGCTGAGGAAGCAAGTGGCAGGCCCAGATAATCTTCCAAAAAAAAAAAAACAAAAAAACAAAAAAACTAGTAATGTACAAAATGGAGAAAAGCAGGTTTTTTAAAATCTATGTTGAAGGATGATATTATTATTATAGATAGTAATTCCCTCCTCAAAAGTCCTCCAAAGCTAAAAACAAAATCACAAAAACCTTGGCAAATGCTGTTTATGCACAGAATAAATCCAGTGGATGGTGTGATTCACATCTTGACAAAAGAAAAAGAAGCCATGTTCTATTTGGGGATAACAGCAATGCACAGCTATTGCTTTAACATCTAGCATATAAATACTACCATTGGGCTGCATCTGTTTGCTTTCACTACGTCTTCTGTGTAAAGAAAAATTGTGTGAGATTTGTGTTAAAATAGAAATTATTAAATGTTATTAAGAAGTAATTTCTTAGCCTTTCATCGTGGAAGGACTTTTTTAAAAAGATTTATTTATTTATACAAGAACTGGGGTATAGTCAGAGGCATGGGAGGGTGAGAGAATTCACCAGAGACAGAGCGGGGAGCAGAACAGGCAGATGGACCAAAGACACTACTGAGGGGAGCAGTGGGCGAGACAGGAGAGGTCTGCAGCGCCATATGGGACTCTCCCTGGCTGGCTGGGAATCAAACCTGTGCTGCAGAGGCTGGGGACAGCTTCATAGCCCGGCACTCAACCCACTGCGCCACCGGGAAGGCCCAGGACTCTTGATAAATATGCCATTAATATTTTTGAAAAAGCGTAGCACGTTCACCATAGATCTGAGGCATACATCAGGGGAGAGAATGGGGTGGGGCGGTCAAAGCAGGGGAGTGAAGAGCACAAGGGATCACGGTGATGGATTATGGGAACTATGGTGGTGGGGGAACTCCAGGGACTACACGTGTGGGGAGAAACCAATTGCTATACAAAAATGAACAATGGTGTAAAAAATAAATTAAAAAAAGCATAGCACTTTCTCCTCTTTTCATGACAGAGAAACAAGTCATCACTGTTAGTGTGACAATGAGGAAAATCTAGATAGCTACCTATTTTATCTATCATTCATCTCTCTATCTCAATACTGTGTTCTACTATGTTTGGAAGAAAGACAATCCCTATGCAAAATAAGAAAGGAGGGTGCCTGTTGATGGTATTTTAGTTCAGTGAGAACAGTTCCTTCAACACTCCCTGATTTGTGCGGAAGTGCCAGAAATATCACTATTTAGAGAGTCAGGGGCTTCTATTTCTGATGATAGGGTATGCACATATTTAGATTAACCCTTCTGGTAAGAAACATCTACTAAATAGATGAAAAAATAATAATGCTGAGATGATATTAAGGAAATCTGAGGTTATTAGACAAATGACAAGAAGGCGTAAATCAAAGGGCAAGGAACAGTCGGAGTCACTTGAATGAGCTATAAAAGGGAAATGGGAGGTGAATCTTTGGACTTGTGCGAGGGGGGATGTTTGGGTCCTGAACCTAGATCATCCCCCTCCTTAGTAGGTGAATCAAAAACATCCTTGATTCCTGGGGGCTGATATCCATTCTTCCCTGTCTCTACTTTAACACAGGGTGGAGCAGGATAAAACCTGTCACTTGAGAAGCCCCTTTAACCCACCCTCACGTGGATTTTTTTTGTTTTGTTTATTTGTATGCCCAGATATTTACTATTATGGACTGAAAAGTTTTGGTCTGAAGACTAAAGTGCTCTCAGGATTTGTGTGTTCCTAGGCAATACCAAGGGCAAATTTCTCTGTAGGAATGCATTATAAATGCAGGCCTCAATGCCTCAGGCCTCAGACCCATGAATGGGAGCCAGTAAAAATATCAAACAACAGAATCAGACCAGCAAAGACTGTGGATATTGGAATTTATCAAGTACCAAACACAGGTGAATGTTTGTAATGAATATTTAATCATTTTAAAGGGGATGTAGGATTCTATCACAAGTACCCTAAAGGACAATAGACCACCAAATATAACTAATTTGATCTCTAAAAAGGAAAAAAGGACTTCTGGAATGGAGATAATTTGTGAGAACCCTAAAGGACTGCTTACAAAGCAGAATTGACATGACAAAGAAGGAAATAATGAGCTGTAACATGGCCTAAAGGATGGTGGTATAGAGCTGGAAAATATCAAAGATAGGTACATGGCATATGTGATAGAGTAAGGAGACATAATGTCAGTATATATTGTTGAAGTTCTAGAGGGAGATTAAAGAAAATGAGGAAAAGACTATATTTGGAAACAATAAAAGCAGAATATTATTATACAACTAGAATTCTAGAAATCCAGTGAATCCCTAAAAGAACCTATGTAAAGAAATCCATGGTGAGACATATTTTAGTGAAACTGCAGAATCCCAAAGACAAGAAAATATCTTAATAACAGTGTGATAATTACATTTAATTTCTACATATCAACAGTAAAAACCAAAAGATATTATGATAAAACTTGGAAAGGGCTGAGGTCAAATTGTTAAAGTAGAAATCTAGTCATATAAACAATTGCATAACAGATTCCCATTAGAAAATATTCTAGATTTACTTCATGAAGAAAGAAACTAATCTCAGAAGAAAGATCTAAGAAGGGAAGGTAAGCAAATTAAATGGCAAACACGTGGGTAAATCTGAAAAACCATCAAGCATGTTAAACATCATTTTATTTGTGGCATAAGGAAGATAAAGGTCAGTTAAAATACTGGAAAGCAGTAGCTTTCAAGATGAAAATGTGTGCCCTGAATTAAAATATTCAAACTCCTCATAATGACTGAGAAGTGGTGGAAAAATTATAGAATCTGATATTAATAAAAATATGCATTTTATGTTTTAGGATGATCACTCAAATAACAAGCAGGAGTACAAATTTCCAGCATATTCAGGGAAGAAACATGAAATAAAAGATTTATTTATGTGAATTAGTTCAACTCTTAAACTGTCAGTAAGCGCTAGAGAACATTGGACAATATATTTTTCACATTTTAGGGTGAAATATTTTAAATGTCTCTTTTTTCATCTTTTCTCTCTCCTTTTCTTTCTGTTTCCTTCATCATCCCTCTGGCACTGGATGTGTAATAGGAATTAGGTAGGTGCTGTGGATTCAGAGCTAAGTAAGAAAGTCCCTGTTGTAAGCAGTTCAAAGAACACTTACCATGTAGCAGCTCCAAAGGAAGGAAATTTCTGATGAGATGAAGAAGGGATAATTTTGACCCATGGGAATATGTATAGAGCTTCAAAGAGGGTAACTATGGGCAACCAGACAAGATTAGCAGAGCACCAGGCCCTGAACTACCAACACAGTTTTGAGTTGCAGCGAAATAGAAAGTTTTCATTCAGTTTGAAACTACATTTGATTATTTAATACAGTTCGAATATTTTCCTTGAAATAAGTGATTGAGTTGAAAAAAAAACCAGCTGCCACCTTCCTGCAGATATTTCTTGCTCTCCCTAGGTTAATAGAATATTTATTAAACACTTAGTACTTCACATTCACTCAACTACTTCTTTTCAAATGTCCTATGAAATATGTCTGCTTTAAAGAGGAGGAAATCCAGGCTCAACTGGGCAAAGTGACTTGCACAAGAGCTGTTTGATTCCAGAACATAGGTGGTAAGGGAATAGATAGGGACCTATGCTTGCTTTAATAACTTTGGGATATACAGGATGTAGGGTAAAGAAAATGTCAGGCTTTTCTGCCCTTCCGCCATCAGGATAGATGATGGATCCTTGTCCTGAATGCATGCCTGATGGCGGGCAACTGGAATATGGTGTGGGCATAGGTGGATGGGATTCAGCTGAGCTAAGACTGTGCTTTTTAAGGGCGGCGTCACGGGGACGCCAGCAGCAGCAGTAGAAGCCGAAGCCGAAGCCGAAAGAGAAGCTGAGAAGCAGCAGAACGAATGCTAGAGAGCCCAGATAGAGTGAAGACTTGCTGGGGGCTGGGAGGCTGGCAGGCCTGCCAGCCTCCCAGCCAGCACCCCTGCCTGCCATATGCCTGGTGAACCCCAATAAAAGACCTGCAAAAACCCACTAAGGACTCTGACTCCTCCTTTACCCGGTCTGCTGGATCCTAGAAAACCTGCACTGTGGCCAGTCCTGCCTTTACACAGGATTAACAAATGTTCATCATCTGATTTTCCTGATGTGTTCTCGGATACTTTATGTGCTCCTAAAAGGGAACTGTGGCACATAACTTTTCTTAGACTTGTGGGACTATTATGTTTAACCAACACAACTCGAGAGACACAATCCAAATTCAAATTTATTTTTGTCACTCTCTGAGACTTGATAGAAGAGTTATTCTGGTGAAAATTTGGCATGGCTAGATTTTCTGTTCACTCA